CCTCGATCTCTTCTTTTAAGATTAAGTTCAGCGGCCAATTCTTCTTCTGTCAGTGGTCGTACTTTTACGCTACTAAAATAGTTGAATAAAATAAAATCGAATGACCCTGTAACATTTTTTGATATTTTAGTGTAATATTCAAAACTATTAAAAAAGTTTGAATGTATGACATAATAACCTTTTTCCTCGTTTTAGGGAATAAATGAGGATTAAAGATATGGTTTATCGATAATTGAAATCTTAGATCTTTAAAAATCAGTATCTAGTGAAGACATCTATTTTTAATCTTTTTTCAAAGCTATCAGATTTTTTTTTTAAGATATATCTACCTACACATATTTTTCCGATACATATTTCGCAAGTCAATTACTACATAATTGAAGTACTAAAAAGTATTTTATAACTATTTTTTACAAGTTTATGTTATTTAATGAATAATTTTATCCAAACATATTATAGATTCATACCTTTAATTAATTCTTGTTCTTCTTTTGTAAATTGTTTTACTCGCTCGATCCGTATGTTTTCCCGTTCGTTAGATTTTTCAACTGATTTTAAAAATTCATCTGGATATTGTCCCGTGGCTAATATATGTGCTATCAATCCAAACTAAAAAATAATTTAATATCACAACATAAAAATGTGTAATAAAAAATAATTTTAATGAATAAATACTGTTGATATTATTGCGCTTTCAGCAGATTTTTGATGTTCTGGATTATTTGGGTCTTTTGGGTAAAACCAAGTTCCATCAATCGCAAAACTTATTTGCCCTAACATAAGCATATACATATTATCATAAACAAATAAATATGTACACGATAGTAATCAATACTTTGTAATGATTTCCTATATTTATTATAAATAAACACATAGATTGGTTTATAAAAGCCTACCTTTTTGTTCTTCTCTAAATTCTTCATTATACATTTGATAAGTCATTGCATGCGAATTAATACAGTGATGTATCGCGAGATAATCTGAATATCCACTAAATATCGATTCTTGATAACCAGGAGCAAAATGTTCGGAACCATATCCTTCAGCAGCTAAATGAACATCTTGAAACGTTGTCCAATATTTTACCTAATAGGTTATAGTTATTTTTAAAAATAAAAAAACACTAAAATATAATTTAATTATATGCATATATATATAAAGATACAAAAATTGTAATATTATAGTTTTTGTATGTAAACTTACTCTGTCTCCAAAATTTTTGAAACACAGTCTCGCATAAGTTAGATAAAATTTATAACAAGCCGAATTAGCCAGTCCTCCAAGTTTGTTGAAACATTCCGGCATATCATAGTGATACAATGATACCTAAATCGATATTTTATTGCATATTAGTATTGTTTAGTTAAATTTGGAACCTACAATATATCGATTGGTTAGGAATATATTTTTTTCTAACCTAGCTTTGATATACATAAAAATACTATGATTAGATAAAATTACATAAATACTTACCATTGGTGTGATTCCATTTTCGATTAATTTGTCAATTAAATTGTTATAATAAGCTATACCAGCTATTCCTGGTGTATGATCATGCATAACTGGAACGATTCTATTTGGACTTATGGAAAAACGATAAACTTTAACCTGAAATAATATTTAAATACTTACATAATTATTATTCATTACAAATTATAATTATTATTGAAAATTGGAATTATTCAATGTTTTATCGGAAACTAACACCCAATTCCTTAAGCAGTTTGACATCTACATCTGTTTTGTGGTATGTATCTGCAGCTATATCTCCGTTGAAATGAAAATGTGTACCATCTTCAATTGAAGATGATGGAAATTCATATACTCCCATTCCTTTATATATATCTGCTAATCTAGGTTTGATGTCCTTCTGTATGTATTTTTCGATTACCGACTTCGGTAAGTCTAAGAAGTATCTGAACGATTTGTTTGCTTCATTGGAATGAAAATAATGATCCCAGATTGATTCCGCCTTATCTAAGAACAATGATTTTATATTAAAACTTATTAAATTTGATAGATTTTAAAATGCTTAATTAATGTTCCGTCATTATAGAGAAAAAAGTTTTCGTGGCTTATACAAAAATTATTCTACTCTCCTTGGAAAGTAATTTAATGATTTTGAGTGTTATAAAGTGTTCTAAATTCACTAAAAAACATTTTTCAATAGAAAAAAATTAAGCAAGCGTTGATACAATTTTAACATTACTACAGAAAAAATATGTTTATTTGTTGAATTTAAACTATAATTGTTTAACATTTTATATCCACGGATGGAAATATATTTACGTCTTCATAATAATTGTAAATAATTGTAATCAAGGAGTTGGGCTAATAAAAACTATTGGTTTTTAAATAAGGGATCTAGTTTTAAGATAAATATAACTAAATATAAAATTGTATTTTATTCATATTGTAATAATTATGATTTTAAATATTTAGCACCAAAATCTAACATTAAAATACAACTTCAAATTATGTAATATTTCAATTTAAAATATTTGTATTTATTACGCTTTTTTTTTTAAATTTTATTGTTATTAGAATTTTTACATAAAAACATATATATGTCTTATGTATCAAAATATCATTTCAATCATAAGTTAATAATTTTATTTTATTACAAATATACATTTTACAAAGTAAACCATAATATTCAAACTTAGGTAGTCCCTACGATATAAGTGAAGAAAATTATCCATAAGGAAACTAACCTTCATCCCAAGCTCCTTCTACTTATAGACTATAACTTTTTAAAATTTTTTTGTCTGCGAATGGAAATATGATTACGTCTTAATAGTAAACATTATTAATTTTAATCAAGGAGAAGGACGAATGAAAGTTATTGTAAATAAAAATAATATGACTACTGTTATAATAAATATAAAATTAGATGAAAGTCATATTGTAAAACTTTTATAACTTTAATATTTAGCTCCAAAACCTAACGTTAAAATTAAAGTTAAAAATTATATAACATTTAAATTTTAAATGTATGTGTCTATTATGTTTTTTTTTTTAATTAAATTTTATTAAAAATTGTATATAAAAACATGTATGTATAATAATACCTTTTCAATCAAAATTTAATTATTATATTTGATTATAAATATACATTTTTTATAAATATAAAGTTAACCATAATATTCAAATTTAGGTATCTCATATTTATAGTAATATCTACAATAAAAGTGAATAAAATCATTCATAACGATACTTACCTTCATCCCAAGCTCCTTCTACTTGGTAAGATCCAGTCGCTGTCCCAAGAAGAAAATTGTCAGGAAATTGTTTTGTTGAGACGAAACTGTCAGCTAAATTTTTATTTTGAAATAAATATATTAAATATTTTATTTATAAAAATAATTAAAAAAAAAATTTTACCTTTTGATTTTTCATTTGCCATTTTTAGCAGAAGAGATGAAGAATATGTTTAATAAGTATGTGGATTTATATTATGGAACTCAGAACACTTGAATAGATGAACGTTGAAGAATATTCTAATACTTTAAAAAAGGCATATTTATATAATATAAATAAATTAAAATATGCCTATTCATTATTTTTCTTGATTATGAAATTGATAAAAGTCTGAAATACTAACTGTCGAAAAAATTTTTAATGATGATTTATACACTCATTATTTGCTTTTCAGAAAAAATCAGTTAAATTTATTGTTAGTTATCTAGATTTTATTTTAGTACTATAAATCAATATTATATACTTAGAAGTATTCGGGTATATTATAAACACACTGAAGTTAAAATATTATAATTAATATTTAATTAGATGATCAAAATTAGGTCATACAAAAATTACCAAAATACATAGTTACGTAAATAAGAATAATATTAATTTTAACTGTAGAAAGGTAAATTTAATGAAATTAGGAGTTATGTAAAGTTAAATAATATTTAGGTATGATGTTATATTATAAATATTTTAAGATTTGTATGTTTTATTTATTCGTTAAATATAGGTTTACAAGTATATTAACCTAATAATGAGAAAACAAGCTGTATTAACTTGATATTCTTGTGGGTTTGAGTCATGACGTTTTTAAACATAATATAATTTTTTTCATTTGTGTTTAAATAATAAATAATAATTAATTATTTATTTTCTATTAAATAGCAAAAACAATACGCATTTAATTTATTTTACTAGTTCATATTTACAACTGCATTTATATCTGTTGATTTTAATTAGAATATTAATTTAAATTAGATTAGTTTATTAATAATAAATGTGTTATCATTATTAGAATATTTTATCGTTAATGCAAGTTAAAATATATATATGTACAATTAATACAAAAATAACTAAATTCTCCACGATATAATTACTATTAATTAAAATAAATTCATGTTTAATATTATTAATACAATCAATGATATTATAATATATTTTAATTTTTAAAATAATATTACATTGATATTCATTATTAAGAAATTTTAAATTCTGATCAGAACAATAAATATATTTATTTTGTATTGATATATGTTTATATATTTTTTTTTATAAATCAAAAACAGATTTGTTATACATGTATATTTAAAAAAAAAATGATTTATACATTATTGAGCTATTTTAGAATATTTAAAATTGTTTCTTTCTTCTTAAAATATTGATATTAAAAATGTTCGTTTGATGCTAATTATTGAAAATTTTACACCAAAATTCTGAAAAATATTTCACTCTGGAACCAAAAAATAAATAATTACAATTCTTTAATGTTTAATGGATAATAAGTTAAATATTTTAATTACAAATACTAATTTTAATTATTTTGTTTAATATTAACTATTAAGTCATATAACACGCGGGAGTTTGAAATGTTTACAAATATGCGCAATGCTACACTAACATTTTAAAATCGTTTATACTAGTGTTATGATTTTGTCTCATTTTAACTAGTTAATAAAAATTAAATTTAATGAAACTAGTAGTTGTGTTGTGTTGAGTAAATAATTCTTTTACAAATTATACTTTTATTAATTATTATTAGTAGTATTTTATGTATTTACCTTTAAATATATAAAATATAAATACCTATACCGTACATTTTGAATAAGTTAAAAAATATAAACGTTATTATATTGTGTCTATATACTGTTAATTTTTATATCGATATTTTTTCATGAGTTTCAATACTAACATTCAATTTTCATTGCGAAATCATATTATTATAATAAATAAAATGTGTGATATTTAAGAATATTTAAGAATTTGTCCTCATTTTTTGTTGTGATTATTGATGTGAAATATATCAATAATTATTATCTCTGTAACTATTATTTATATATTATTATAACGTATTATTATTATTATATACCTATTATTATTTACATTTATTAGAAAGTTTTTTAATGAGAACTACGGGATGATACATTTTTTAAATTTATTTGTTATTGTCTATTTTATATTTTTTATTTTAAATTTAATACATTTATTACAAAGGCATCTTCAATGATACGAAATACTTGGAATTTGTTAAAAAGAAGAGTACATATTCTAGTTTATTTTATTAAATATTAAAAATATATTTCATGTTTTAATAATTGCCAGTTCAATGTCTAATTAATATGTTTAGTTATAATAGTATGATGATGAACTTAAATTTAAACTAAATTTCTTTACAAAAAAGAAAATTATAAACTGCGTGTAATTAAAATATCTGAGTAGAGAATTTAAGTGTAGGTAATTAAAAGTTATGGCTCCGATTGTTCTAATGATTGGTAACAGTAATAAGTATATAACCACACAATGTGTCAATACTTGTTTAATAAACTTCTTCATAAAAATTAAAAACTTAAAATCGTTATAAGTAGCTCATTTAAAAAATAAAAGTTGAAGTTGCAATAATTTTTTGTAGATGTGATTATTTTTACGATAAAAATACCATTAAACAAATAAATATATATTTGCAAGTAAATAAGTTTACTTAAATTATTAAGGTAATATTGCAACTGTGGATATTTGATTTAATAGCAAAAATGATTAGTAAATAAATAAAACTAAATTATTTTTCAAAAATTAAAATTTAGTACGATATATATTATTTTTTTTAATACATTAAATATATGCATATTATATAATATAGAAGAGATTTCTGATTTTCTCTACTAATACTCAAAATAACTGAAATACGTAAATATTTGTGTAAATACACTTTTTTTTTTTTATATATATTTATTTATAAATAAAAATTGTTTTTAAAGTTCAAAAAGTTTTAAAATTGAACGCAATACATTTTAAAATATTCAATATTTACATTACAACTAATATGTATGCTCATATTTTTATAGGCAATTGTAATTATTTAAATTTTGATGATATCTGCCAAGATCACGAACAACTATGAATTATTTTGTACTCAATAATTAAGATTTGCGATTCATACCATATCCTATTTAAAATTATCACACAGCTGTTTGTTAGTTCCTGATCAAAGTAATTAATTACACCTTAAAAATAAAGATACTTTTATTATAAACTATATGATATAATGTTATAATAGTTATAGTTGAATATATATATAATATGTATATTGTTTCTTTGGCGGTAAGTATTTTTAATAAAAAAGATGGTTAATTTTAAATATATGAATACATTTTAAAACATTCTTACATTATATTTTTAATTTTTACTTGTACAATCGTTTTTTGGATGTGATGATATATCATTGAATTAAAATATAAGTACCAATACAATAGTAGTTAATGACGAGATGCATACTAAATCTACCATACGTCCCTACAGCAAGGTGACTTTCACAAGTTTTTTTACTGTGAATTGTCAAGTTGAAGTATTCAACTTTATGTATATGAAGGATAATTTACAGTATATGATGTGAAGTTAAAACTTTGAACATACCAAGAAAGTTATTGAAATGTTTATATTTCTGTTATATTATTATTTATAATCGATGATAATGATTATATTTATTTTGACTAAAGATAAATTCAAATTATAACATTGAAAATTGAATGATAGTTTTTAAAATTTTTATTTAAAATTTATTTTTTTAGGAAATTGTATACATGTTGAGAAATTTTCTTTATTGACTGTTGTAGTAAAAATAAACTTTGAAAATTATAAGTAAATCATAAGGTTTTATTTGCAGACGTTACGTCATCATATATGTTGATATTGGTAATTTGTTGAAAATATAGTATAATAAATCTTTAATATTATACCGATAATATTATAAATTATTTGCATACCAAAATTCAAATATTTATTAGATAAAGTTATGTTATATTATAACAGTTATCGGCATTTTAAATCAACCGTCGACCGTATTATATTATATAATTTAATATACACATATATATATTATCTTAAAATTACTTCTTAGCAACAATTAATTTGACAAGTTTTAAAATTTTTAATAATAAGATATTGTTTCCATTATTTTTCAAATAATCTAGAGTCTAGCTGTGTGTACTAGGAATAAATTTATTGTGAACGTTAAAAACCGTTCTTGCGTAAAGTGAGTGTCCACTGTCGAGTGTATCTTTTCATCGAGTATCTCAGTCTCAATTTAATATATGACTTAAATCTCAATTTAATGATTAAAATAATTACATACAAAAATACGATTCTAGGCGAAGTTGGTCTATCAAGCCCATAATATTACTAGCTATATATTTTTTTCTATATTTAAAATATTATTGTAATAATCTATTTTATTTTTGGTAAATACAGATATTGAATTGATTTTTGTTAAAAACTGATTTTGCGTGAAAACTCTTAATTTTTCTCGATTTTCTTCTTTTTTTTTTTAATTATTTTGAAAATATCTTGAATTTCTAAATGTTGTTCTCCTAAAGTAACAACTAGATAAAATTTACTATCGCAAACTACCTACCCCCATAATTTATCGTTGTAAAATCATACATTCATCGCTTCCGTCGAAATCTAAAATGCGTTGATGAAATATAATGCATTTTATTCATTTCGATTTAGTAAAATACTTCCTCATTTAATGATATAATCATATAGGTACGTAGAGTAGCATAGCTACTGTGGTTAGTATTGTAATGTATATTTACTATTTACTTAAAAATCGATAGTACCGACTTGTATGTTTAGCAATTTTATTGAAAAGTTGTTAATATTAACTCTTTTGTAAAGTAATGTTAAACGTTAAATTAGTGATTAATGACAACGACTAATATTTTAATAAAATATTATGACATTTTTTGGTAAATTAAAAATACTTAATACTAAATAGGACTAACTATATAATTAGTTTTTTAATAAATTCAGTTGGTAGTAGGTAATTATATTAATAATCCGATTATACTTAAGTTTCGTGTACATGTAGTGGATTACTGATTGTACCTTTACTGTTATATAATATTAATATTTTCCAAAATCAAACTTTAGATCTACCTACTTTTATGCAACAATGAAAACTGAATATAATATCTACCTAAGAGTCTACGTACGACAGTAATATACGATGTGTAGTACATTTTACATGTACACAACAAAT